ACACACACACACACACGTCCTCGGCCGACTTGGCAATTAATCAGATTGTTATCGCCGTTACGTAACGGCCGGGCCAAAAATTACTGTAATCATTCGAAAATTGATAATGACGTCCGCGCGAGGAGGTAACGGCGCTCGATATATAACGTGGCGCATTCGGGAAACGTTTCTCCCGAGAAATTTCATCGCTAAACGAGCTTCCCCAGGACACGCCGCGTCCACCAACGGCGTACGAGCCGTTGCGAGGAAGTATGAGGGCCACAGTTTGCTCGTCCGAATTTACGGTATCGTTCGATTACGCCTGATGCGTTCGGGCTATTCGCCGCCGGGCGGTAATTCCACCGTCACGATTATGGCGCGCATTCTCTCGCATCCGGCGCGATATGCGATGTCGCCTGTATTCTCCCGACGACGCGTCGGGAGTTTGCACGGAAACGTCACTTCCGGAGCTTTCGGCAACGCGAATTGGCACGATTCTTCGATCGCGCGACCCGCTAACGAACCTTGCAGAAACTCTATTGCTTCTGGAGAACGATACTCTCGATTTCGATAATCTCAGATTGAATGCTATCGAAAGAATAGCTCCTTTAAAGAGTCTATAAAAAGAAAAATTCGAGGATTAATAGTATAGAATAAAAAAGGTAAATATTAATACAAAATTCTAAAAAGTTCGTAAGACTCGACGATAATCTGTCGGGTAATTTCGAAATAATTTCCTTCTCGATTTTCACGATTTGTATTTAGCATGTCGTGTATCTCACCCCTCCTTCCTCTCACCTTCTCGTAGATCTCATCTAAGTTCGAATAAAAATTCGACTCGATTGTAGATCCGGACAAAAAGGAACAAAGAGAGATTTTCGATAAATTGCCGTCGAAAGCGGCAGCGGAATTGAATTTGAGGAAGATCGATATCTCGGTGCTGATCTAAAGCTACTTAAGGCTATCCAGAGCGCATCCCAAACGAGTTTACCCCCCTCCCCCCTATGTACGAGGGAAAAAGTCCTGGGAAAGACACGGGTGAGCTCTTTGGGGGCGAGAGACACAAAGTGGACAAAAGGTCTCGAGAGTGCATCGCGATGCAAGTGGCCGCGCATAAATATTTGATAACACGACGAGATAGATTGCTGCTGCATCGGCGTAATAACGACGAGTGTATGCGTGTGCCGTGTGTGATTCCGACGATCAGGGGACAGGTGGTGCACAAAGGGGGGAGGGCGGCAAAGGGTGTGCGAGGGGATGCTTTTGGCCGCGCGCATAGCTCGCATACCGGGCCTTCCTCGCGTGGTATGTTATAATTAGTGCTCCTCCTGCCGCGCACGCAACATCGATATGTCCACGAGCTTCGGAATACTTCCCTAATGAGATGGTCGCGATAAACAACGGGGTTAAGTGGCCGCGCGCGACCGATGCGACGTGCCGCCATCGTAAGTCCTGCGCGAAAGCGCGGGGGTAAACCGCGCGGTAAAACTCTCGCGGTTCAGAGCGCGACTTCGAGAGTAATAAGAAACTATCCGATTCGTGAAATACGCGGCCACCCTTAGGCTCCCTCGACTCGCACAAAAAGGTATGCACTCCGACACGGTGTCGATTCGTCTCTTCATTCCCCGTAAGGGAAACTCTGCTTTCCTTTGTGGGTTGTACGCTGCGTTCTCGTGAAAATTGGAATTTTGTGCCAGGTGATTTTTTTTTTTTTTTTCTTTCGAGAATATTGCACGGTAGGTAAATCACATAACGTCTATTCAGCAGTCATCGCGGATGTATGTTTGTGGAACGAAATAAACGCATGCGAAGGCTAAGCATAACTCGGCTCTTGGCTTTTAGCTCTTTGCCGCAATAGATTTACATCGTACATCTCGCGTGCGTGACGTAAGCATGTTTTACACTCCGGCCAAATAAAGCGTCGGCAGAATTCACGTTCCTTGTATGTATCTCTTTCTCTCTCTCTCTCTCTCTCTCTCTCTCTCTCTCGTACGTACGTACTTACGTTACTTACGTTACGTACGTACGACGTACGACGTACGACGTACGTACGTACGGTACGGTACGGACGGACGACGTACGTAACGTAACGTAACGTAACGTACGTACGTACGTACGTACTCTCTCTCTCTCTCTCTCTCTCTCTCTCTCTCTCTCTCTCTCTCTCTCTCTCTCCTTTCGGGGGAGATACGCTCTCTACGTGAATATTCGCGCGGCGCGTATCTCTTTTTTAAGAGCGTCCGCGCCAATTTGTAAATGTTATTGTTGCAGCTCCGCACGGCGTAGCCGGTTGATTTCCAAAGCGACGGAAATTTTAAAGGCGCTTTGGAAAACCACAATCGACGATGACTTTTTCATCACTGTCTGTCTCTACATACATTTGTTCTATTTTGCGTTGCTTCGTTAAAAAAAAAAAAAAAATTGACATAGAATTTTTCATCAAAACGAAAGAATTTGCAGACGGTATGATCGCCCTGATGTTTATGAAATGAAATTAACTGACGTTCGATATATTTATGCGCGATTCCATAAATCCTGTGGACAGGAAAGAATGTATGTTTACGACGAAGTTTTGCTGTGATATCCTCGCGAAATCTCTAATGTTACTATGACGGCGGATGAACAGCGGAGAGGCGTCGCCACCGTTATCAATTATAACGCCGATAAAGCTGCCAAACTGAATCTCGGAAACATCGAGCAGTTCCGATCACCCCGCAGCAAACCATCCCTTACTCTGGTCGATTGAAATTTATTGACACGCCATAATTACATGCCATGGAAGTTGATTGTGTGGCGTTCTGATTCCCATTAGGTGGCCGCATTTAGGAACTGACGCGACTCACAGAAAAGTCGCTTAAAATTCACGTGAAAATTGGGTTAGCAATTAATGGATATCTCAAAATTCGATTCCGAGCGAAGGAAGGGGCGAAGTGACTCGAGATTAGCGTTAGACACTCACGTCTAAAAAAAAAAAAAATCGAACACTAACGCTTCCTCTTCTTTGCGATGTGATATTGGCAATAATCCTCAAGAATGTTTCTTTTTAACTCAAAATGAGACAATCTCATTTCCTGCAGATTTCGCGATATTAAACAGTCCCAATTTTCAAGATATTCTATTCTATGTCACGTAAAATTTTTTTTACACATGTAAATATAATATAAAAAACGTAATAAATTTAAACTCAATATTGAAACTCAAAACGATTGATAAAAAATTCTTAAAAAATCAAGATTACATAGAGCATATTTAAAACATTATAAGAAGCGATTCGTTTCTTTGGACTTTCTTATTGTCGAATTGTGTAATCTTTAAGGCTCTACATATAATATCTTATATTTAATAAAAAAAAAAAAAAAACGTACAAATCACCTGCAAGTTTAATCCAAGCGAATCCCTTCGAATTATGAAACGGCAGTTGATTACGGCATTCGATTGTAAATCAGGGGGAAGAGCATATCCAAGGATTTGTCCTCCCTCGAGTGGTATCGATTCGATGACGATCGATCGAGTGGTTGTAGGAAAAAACGAAAGGCACCGTTTGAGAGAATCCGGGGTAGCGAGGGGAGAGAGAGAGAGAGAGAGGAGGGGAGGGAGGGGGAGATTGCGTGCCACGAGGCAAAGACCGACAGGGAAAAGTGCACGCGTCGGATGCACGATACATGTATATGTATTCGTTATCGTGAAACTGGTTAAGCGTTTCCTACCTCTATTTGCGTTCGGTCGGAATACACTGTTTGTCTTCAATCTGCGTGGATCGAAAAATATTGAAGAGGTCGGGTATACGGGTTAATAGCACGCCCGAGCGATCTGCGTTTCGAAATGCGCACTCAAACAATGCCGTCGGTACCCAACAGCCGCCGTTGCGCTTAATTGAGCGGATTCCCCGCGTCGTTAAAATTCTAATGATCGCTACGTAAGTATTACCTGGCGATCCTGTTTATAAGCGATAAGCTCTCCGCGAGAGCCCGCGCTCCTAATATAGGCACCGTTTCGAGAATGATCCTCCTCGCTTCACCCGGCTTGGGGGAGGAGCGATGGAAGCGGAGTAGTCGTGCGCGAACGTATAATTCGAGGATCGCTTATTCGCAAAAGAAGAATATTTGTAACACCCCAGAGGAAATGTGGAATGTGAAAGAATTCCCACTGGAGGTAGTGGAACTACCGACCAGAGCGAGTGGTGATGTACGTTTAATAACGGTGAGGTGAGTCGGACTCTCGCGCCACGATGTCGTAATAAAGAAGGGCGCCGCAATAGGGCTGGCTTTGCTACGTATTAGTCGCGAGAACCCATAGATCCTCGGAGTATCCCCGGAAATTTTTACAAACGTACAAGTACGTATGAGTTGGGAAAACGGTAAATCGAAACATCGGATTCCGAGTCGGAAATCATCGATGCCAATTCCGATGATTGTCGCGATGAATAGTGCATCGATACTCGCCTCGTCGAAGGCGATTTGATCAAATTTTTCTTCACTTTTTGGAGCGATAAAGACACTTTCTGGAATTTTCTACAATCGCTAATAAAAATCAGCAGTTGGCATAAAAATTGAAAAAAAGTATATATCAACATTACAACGTTACATATTGGTATAACTAAAAATTTAGATATATATAAAGTGTAATTTTTCAGCTCTTTTTTAAATTATATAATTAATGACTATACTTTTTTTAAGGTCGGTTCTAGAATGTGTCCAATTGGAAATTTATTAAGAGGATATGCCTCCAAGAAATTGTAAATACCTATTGCATATTTCGTTGCCTAGTTGAAGCTACGGTCGTTCCGTAGTCAACGCAATTTCGCAAATGCTAATTCCGCAGAGATTTTGCATGCAACAAGAACGAAATTGCAAACTCACGTGTACAGCGGTACTCCGGCTTCGTCTTTAAACCAGAAAACCATGTGCAGCACGTCTTCGCCAGGAGGAGTTATGTCGCACGGCAATTCGGCAGGCCTTCCCTCCACCACGCTGATGTTCACCAATGGAACTGAAAATAGACAATTTATTTGTTTTAAAAATCGTTTTACCGCCTTTGTAATAATACAAATCTGATGCAATATTAATTAAAAAAATTAAATTGTAAAATTAAATTAAAATTACATTTATATATCAAGTCTATTGGTTTCTTTAATAAAGAACTCTCTCATTTTTGTTTCTCCGTGATCTCGCAAAGATCTTTTTTGACAGGGAATTTTTATCGAAAAACAAATTTTACAAAGAATTTTCCCAGCGAGCAAGAAATTACATGCAAATGTATGCGTGTAAATCGATAAGTGATATTCGCGTGTGACTCGATATCAGGAATATCGGCGATTTGCCAGTCGCTGTGCCAGGCGGCGATTGGATGATAAAATCCAAATCGAAGATTTCACGATTGGGCTTAAGAGATCCGGCTTATGAAATTTCGT